AGAGAGAGAGAGAGAGAGAGAGAGAGAGAGAGAGAGAGAGAGAGCATGGAGAAGAAGATGGTAATCAAGGTTCATATCACTAGCCAATGTTGTAAGAAGAAGCTTCTTCAAGTTGTCTCTAAGCTACAAGGTAAAATTTTTTTAATGGAGAAACTTGCTTCAGATCATTTGAATAACTGAAATCATTAGTCCTGCTTCTAAGTAAACTGGCTAGTTACATGTTGAGCATTTAAAACTGTGAGCTTGGAGAGAAAGGTAAAGAGAAAGTAAAATGAAACTCATGATATAGTACTGCATGTGTGATAATATACGGCTACATATTTAGAAAGGGTATAAGTTTCTTAAAAATACACCCCTGAACTTTGGCGTGTTTTGCACCAGAACCCCTCACACTTTATGAATCAGAGACAACCTCCCAAACTTTTGAAATTGTACAAATTAAACCCCCTGCACTGACTACACGGAGTCGACATGAATTATCCAAAACACTCTTCTTCTGATAAAATTGAAAAGTGCATGCATGCATACAAAATTATCCAAATTAAACATGTCATATATAAAGCAAGTTACTAAATTTTTGCTATGTTGACCTGTGATTCATGTGCAGGTATAGATAAGATGGAAATTGATTCTGAGAAGAACACGATGACGGTCATCGGTACTGCTGACCCAATGGACGTGATCAAACGATTGAGAAAAGTTTGCAAATCCGCTGAAATTGTAACCATTGGTCCACCTGCACAGCCTAAACCTGCAGAACCTCCGAAGCCTAAACCTGCAGAGCCTTCGAAGCCTAAACCTGCAGAGCCTTCGAAGCCAGCTCCATGCCCTTCGTATCCTCCAGTTTGTTTCTCAGGATGCCCTTGGAACTGCACAGCTTGTGTGCCTCCAAGGTACATCGCGTGCCATGAGGAAACTCCACAGTTTTGCACACTCATGTAAAATTGGTGCAAAAACTTCTTTAGATTTTGTTTCTTCGATATAAGTGATGTTCACATGCCTATGTCACACGAGATTGATCTATTATACCATGCAAATGCCTCTTTATGCACGTAGAAAAGACACAATTTTCGTCTTGACTAAGCTAAATATGAGAAATGTTTGACCAATAATTTCTTCGTGTTCTTTGTTTATAAGAATAGAGAACTTGCTTGTAGTTATACCATAGAACCGTGCCTAATGTTGTATAAATTATGTACATCATGCTAATGTAATAGCTAACTATTTTGATTTGGACTCCCATGAAAGGAGAAATTGAGCAATAACGAGTAACTTCTAGGAAAAAAATTTAGGACGATGGATAATCAAATTATTTGAAGAGATGAAGAGTCAATAGGAAAGTTTAATTACAAGATATTGATGATTAGATAAAAATGATGTGTACTCAATTTAGCAATATAAGAAATTAGATAACATTAAAATATCCTTAAATTTATAATCTAAAACAGACCATTATGTAAAATTTGCAGAGTTTGGATTGTACGGATATTCAATCTCTATTCAATCTCTTTCGTAGTCATTTATTTATAGGAATCTTATGCTGATACTATATGAGAGTGGATCCTTAAAGCTTTGATTTTTGAGATAACCCCAAAAACTTATCGTCTAAATTATAAATTTACCATTAAAAACTAATTTAAAAACATATATTAATCTATACCTGTATCGTGCATTATGCAATGCACGTGTGACATACCAGTAATAATAATAATAATAAAACACGGTAAAGAGGAAGTCTTTGTGCATTACCTCACTAAGAAGACCATTATAGTTCAAGAAAACTAATGATTACTAAACATAGGTACAATATGACTATTGATACATGTTAGAAAGGGTAAATTTCACTATAAACCCTGAATTTTGGCATGTTCTGCACAAAACACTTTAAAGTTTCGTAGTTAAATAGAAAACCTAGTTATTGAAAATTATCATAAACGGCGTTAACATCATACTTCATATATATATATATATATATATATATATACTCCTTTTAAAAGTGGGAGTTCTTAAAAAACTTTCATTGGTCAATTTTACCCCTAATCCTTTTCAATATTAACATTCTTATCCTAATTATAATTGGTTATCAACTAAAGCTATTAAATTAAAATTAAACTTTTGAATTAAAGCTCTCTCCATTCAAAACTAATTAATAAAAAATTAATCTAATTAGAATTGGTTGACAACTAAAGATTATAAAGAAGCTTAAACTTCCGAATTAAAGCTCTCTCTCCATTCAAAACCAATTAATAAAAATTGATCTAATTGGTAAACAACTAAAGAGTAGAAAGAAGCTTAGAGCACATTAGCATTGTAAACATAATATGCATTGTACTGTAAATATTAACCAATTGATTGATACCAAATTATGGGATTAGTTAAGTATTAACAAAAATTAATTGATTGAAGTATTTTTTTTGGTAGTCCCTTAAACCTTTCATATTTTGAAATTAGACCATCAAAGCATTGAAATTATTATTGTTAGGCACCTCAATCTGAAGTTATTTAAAATTAGTCATTCAAATTAATGGTATAATTAGCAATTTGAGGGACTAATTTCCCTCTAATTGCTTTTTTTAACTCTTGATTGGGGAAGTTGTTATCACAATAACTTAATAATTGTGGATGTAATAGCTTTTTCAATGATTTGATGAATTAATTTTAAAATAATAAGAATTGAGCAACCTAATAGTTCAATGTGGTTATCTTTGTAAACTTATGGAGATGTTTTCTGAAATGATGATGGGTTTCTTATTCTACGGTCATTAAGGATTAAGATAGAAGATTTTTTCCCTTTTCTTTTTTACTTCATAAGAATTTTATGTCATCTGTTATAATTATATTTGAGACATTGAAGAAAATGATTGCTATATGAGTGAATAATCTTTTCGAATAATGTATAGCTTACATTGCTCATGGTTTATAAGCAAATAATCTTCTCTAATAATTTGTAGCTTACATTGCTTATGGTCACAACGACACATAAAATGAAAGCTAAAGGTACATAAATGTAAGGGCAAAATGGTCAGATTGGTATATTTTGTAGACACTTGGTGACATATTGGTATATATTTTTAATTTTGACAGATTGCTATATTTTATAGACTCCGGTGTCATATAGCCCTTAAATTTGGCCAGAGTTACTGTTCCGGCCAGTGCTGATGGATTTTTTTGCATAAAACCCACTCATCAAAAACATGTCACCAGTAATATAGTTTCGAGGATGTAGGATATAAAAATTGCCTCAACAACGGGAAGATCAATAAAACTCGCCAGCACGAGTCAAACTCACTCAAGAGTTGAGTTCGCCAGCACGAACAAAGCTCGCCCGCGTGCTTGACTCGACGGCACAAATCAAATCCACACAATCGTCAAGCTCACCTGCATGACCAGATGATCAGAAGCTCGCTTGCATACTTGACTCGTCTGCACGAGTAAAGTTCATTCAAGCGCTGAGCTTGACTTCACGTCCAAGCAATCAGTCAGGCGATCAACAAACTATCCAAACTTGCCAGAGTACTAGGCGGCTATGATGTCACGTACAGGGATGGACCTTCCCATTTCTCACAACGTGAAGGGGGAGGAGTACAGTACTCCGAGCCCATCAAGCAGCCGCTCACAGTATAAGTGAGAGGCGTGGCATCTCTCAACAGTGCATGGTCATATCTCATGATTCAAGAGAATAACCATGTTGTCTCTTCTCTATTTAAGAGACACTCCTGGCTACGTTAAAGGGGTTCGCTCTTTGGCTGATTAGCTCACTTCTCAGTTGACTGGCGTCCCGCTCTTTGCATAGTCCCTGCACTGTAGCATCTTCTTCTAGCTTTCGGCCTTAACAACCATTAAGCTCGAGAACTCGAACTCGGTCAACACGAGCTTCTACTGCACACTGAAGTTTGTCTGCAACTTTGCTCGGATCATCCAAGTGAAGCAAACTCGGTTCCGGCACTAAGGGAGGCATCCTATCGCTACCAAAGACCCCACGTTAAACAAGAAGGGTATTCCTTTCGCTTCTGCTGAAACTTTGATTCATTAGTTTCAAACGGTAGTCGGTAAGGGCTCATCAAATTCGTTAATGGCTGAGGGTTTGCCAAAAATCCTATTATGCTTAGATAAGTAGCTTGCGACAATGGATTTGCTCTTTTAGCTCAGAGAGCATCTCTTCACAAAACTCGCGCAAACTCCACCTTCAAATCAGCTTTTATAGAGTCTGCGGTGGTATTCAAAGCCTTGGTAACCTCCTCCTCCATAACACTGCTAAATCAACCTTGTGAGTTGCGGAAGGCTATTCAGATTTAATAGTCACTGACGTACCGGCTTCATCAGTTAGTCTCGTGACTTGAGCACCCGGGGTAGCCTCAAGTCCAGCCAAAGTCTACACAATCATTGGATCCGAGGATTTGATGAATTCCATTTCAAAAGAAGCCTTGAACGTATTTTGATGTCCTTGAGATGTTCAATAGCCTTTGAGATTGTAGTCGTATCAGCACCAACGGCTGGTCCTACAATCAAATCTCACACAAAGGGCTCAACCTGACAAGCATCCGATGCATTCTCAGCTTGCTCTTTTCACTCTGATGAGTATACGAGTATAAACTGCTTCTCCATGAACCTCTGACATGTATATTTGGTTAAACTACTCCCTAAAACTCCGAGGAGTATATGAGTATAAACTGCTTTTCCGCGCTCCAACATCTTAAGAGCTTAAACTGTGTAGACTCTAGCTACGTATGAGTATAAACTATATTTACATTAAAATAGAATCCAATGTCCTACCACACACTAGCAGTTACGTCAAGATTAGGCTCAAAATAATTCAATTTCAAAATTGTCCCTGGGAGATCAATTGTAAATCGGCTATGAGCTCCTGACAAAGATGATCAGTTCAACATCAACTCAATGACACGAGCTAATTCAAGTATCAACACACCAACTTCAGTTCCAGATTTCAAGAATGATCAGCAACGTCATTATACCGAAAGTATTTTAGATTACCCGATAAAATACTAACTAGGCTGAAGGACAATGGTCAACGACGTCATAATACCAGAAGTATTTCAGACTACTCGATAAAATACTGAGGAGCCTAAAGAATGAAGAAGTCAAGGAACTGAAACCACTCACGGGTCCTTCTACATAGTCTTCTCGATAAAATACTGAAGAGACTAAAAACAGGGCTTATCTTATCCAAAGTATTCCAGACTCCTCAATAAAATACTAAGGAGGCTGAAATCTTTGGAGGATGTATCTCTAGGTAGCAAAAATTACCTATAAAGCCCCAAACTCAGCTCAAGATGAAAAGAAGACGAAGAACATCATCATCTAAGTCAGAGATGATCATCCGATACAAAAGGAAGCCAAGGAGAACACAAAACAATAGCCAAAAGGGACTGGAACTGTCTCACAGTTATCAAGACAGTATACACTATCTCGCATAACCGAGACAGTGTAGACTGTCTCGAAAATGCGAGATAGTAAGAACTGTCCTGCCAACTGCAGGATAGTTCCTCGTGTTTTCTAATGATTTTGTGACTTTTTTGTGGGGACCACGTGACTCCATAACTACTCTGGAACATCCATAAACACGGAGAGGCTGTTACAAACTGAAAACTCACCCATAATTCTCAGAAATTACGGTATTTAACAGATTGAATGTCGGTTACAAAACTGCATGGAATGACCAATTCTTCCGAGACAGTAGGCACTATCTCTGAAATAGGAGTTGATGGATAAAGTTTGTTTCGACTTCTTATCTTCAGAAACAGTTTCTAAAGGCTACAAATACTTCCTTAGCACCCATATGCACGAGGACCAAGCGGATTCTAGGCAGAGACTTGAGCTTTTTGGCGAATTTTGAGTAAGAGAGAGAGTCTTCATTGTTTTCAAGCACCCTCAAGAGCCTTCGGCGTTTCCTCGAGATCTAAGCTTTGACTTGATCTTGAGAAGAGTGTTTTATCTTACATTGTTGAGATATCCACTTCTGTCCTTATTTCTCAAATGAAACATCGACCCCAAAGCCTTCTTCACGATTCAACTTGGATTTATAATTCGGTCGTTCACGGGCTAACGCACCTCCGGTACATGCAAAGATTCCATGCAAGTAGCGAACGATAACGTTCATGCGTGTGTTTCTAGAGAATACTCTTAATCTTGTTTTATTGTAAAGAGAAGTTTTACAAAGCACAAAGCTCACTCTTTTGTTTCCATTGTAATTGATAAATGTTTATAATGAATTCTGCAATAAAATTTGTTCTCGACGCAAACACAATGGTCTAGGAATCAATGTGAATAAGGATAAATACTTTTTTTAACCGATTCGTTGTTATTGGCTTCTAAGGCTGAGCATGAAATACGTGTAGAACTAATCGATATTGAGAACAAAAATAATAATATTGTTGTAGTAATATATTATGTAGATAGATTATATATATGATGCAAAACAAAATATGTAGCTTTTGTAGTAGTTTATACGTACCTAGTAACACATAGAAAAGTCTATTTCACTTTAAAAAATTTGTTCATCACAACCTGGACTATGGGTATACGCATACAAATAGTATTTGATTTTGGACATACATAGATGTAACTGTTGTTTCTAGGCATGCATCAATATAATTATATGACAAAACTTACAATAGTTCTTTCCAATATGACTTGCGAAAAAAACATGATAAACATTCAATTCGCAGTGGTAAACTAAAGAGAACAACTATAGTTACACAACTAAATAGTTAGGGTTATCTAGATATTAGTCCTGAAATTTTCAGTAGTTATATATTAGTCCCTCAAAACTTTGTATTTGCTCGCAAGTCCATCCTGTCCTAAGGTTCTTGCAAAGAAGATGAAAGACAAAAGTTTCATGGTTAAAAAATGATGTAATTGATTTTCTCTTAGTACGAGAGATGAAATCATGTTATCATACATATGGTCCAAAAGAAAAGGGAAAAACATTTTCCAAAAAGATTCAATTTGGGCTATTAGAAAAAAATCTCTGCTTTAACTACAAAAATGTTGATACCTGATTGTTGCTCCCCTTCTCATCCTTATCATTTGATTGGTCAAATCAAAATACTTCTTTCTATAGTTGCTTGGGGTCGGGGTAGTTTTAGATGAATAGTTTAATTAGCACTATTCTTTTTAAAGATGCAAATTCACTAAATTTGAGGGTATATGTGGAAGAAAAACTTTTTTGAATTTCAGCTACAACCTATTTTTTTGTAATAACAAAGTAATTTGAAAAGGACACATAAGCAAAGAAGTCCTTGACATCATCATTCCAGAGCTTGAACCACACATAGCCAGAATTCCATCGCCTAGTATATCTATATGTAACTAAGAGAGCTTTTCTTAAACATCAAACAATATTATGGATCAACTAAATCAGAAATTTCAGTTTATATAATAGAACATACTTTTGTTTTGGTTCTCAACTCCTTAACTCACAATTCCAACAAGCTATTGATCTTGCAGGGCTCCGTATTGGCTTTCGTATACTCTGACGTTGAGGTTGTTGGCTATCTGTAATAAATTAAAAAGTGAAAAATATTTCTTTTGCTGACAATCAACCCAATTTTTTTAAGAATGTCTAATTTTAACCTGGTTATTGAGGTACACACTCTTCTGTTCAATTGTGATCATTCGCTAGCTTCTCCATTATCTTTCGTAAGCTCGCCGACAACTAATCTTGTGATTCTGGTTGCAAATTTGAAACCTAGGATAAATTCAAAGGTAAAGTTATAAGTTTTATGTGAGATTTGATTCCTGTTGATTATGAGAGATAAAGAAATTGTGAAGAATGAGAGGTTGCAAGTGATTGCATTCAAGTGGCCCGAGTTTCAGTAGCAAGTGACCCCAAACGGATATTGGAATTGGCTCAGCTGCCGTTGCTCAAAATCGAGCTAAACAAACATTGTGAGAGTCACCTCTAATCCCAAGCACTCATCATGATCAAACTGATTTTAATTGAGAGAGAAAGATGCAACTCCACCTTTGGAATTCCAAGCACTCTCCATTCTAATAGATTTTAATTGAGGAAGCGTAAACGCCACGTCTCCACCTTTAAAATTAATTAACTCTCCATAATTTAATTAGCCGATTTTAATTGAGAGAGAAAGCCATAACTCAACCTTTGGAATTTAGAGCAAACAATTTGGTTTAATACTTCACCCTCTATATTTTAGTGCACATAGTAAAGTTTATAAGATGTTACATAATTGATTGGAAGGGGTATGGTTTTGTGTAATTATTACATTTGATGATTTAATTAATTAAATTAGGTTGCATATTTATTTGAGTGAATTTTTTATGATAGTATTAGATTAGGTTAGATTACCAAAATCACCCTTAAACCCAAATCTAATATTAAATCTACTCCTCTACACAAATGGGAGAACCCAAGATTCACTATTCATGTTACAGTAAATACCACAATAACATTTACTGTAGCAAACATGAAACATGACGATGAGATTTTTTAAAAAAATATTACTGTAGCACACGTGAATACTGTAGCAAATGCAGGATATTATATCAATCCAAAAAGATTACCGTAGCAGTTAAAAACATGGATTACTGTAGCGGGTGCTTCGCAAGGTGTTCACACTAGTACTAAATAATGGCAGGCATCATCAGTTGAGGGCATCTCCAACCCATTGCACCAAAATGGTGCAAATTTTGCACCAAAATGGTACAAAAGTCACATCTAACAGTAATTCATCTCCAACCCACTGCACCATTTTTTGCACCAAAAAAGAATATTCTCAGTATCTTTCTTTTTATCTACTTTTATATTATTATTTTTTATTCCCTATATTTTTAACTATTTCAACAATTAACCCCACATATCAAATTTTATTTTTTCACATATTTTCCAAACAAAATGATTTATTATTTAAAAAGTTAAACTAATAAAACAATAAAATATTATTTTATTAATTAAAATAACTTGATTGCTAAAATATTATATTTTTATTATTGATATTACCAAAATATTACATTCAAGAACACAACAGAAAATAAAATACAAGAAAATAATTAAACATTAACAACAATATAAAAATTACAAATTTAGTATGCACTTAACTATCTGAATTAGTGTATTCCTCCCATAGATGATCTATCAATGCATTACGAAGCGCAATATGGGCATCTTTATCCTTGATTTTTCCGTAACGTGCAATAAATTGAGTCCTACCTTATGGCTGTTGGATTGTTTGTACAATAGTAGCCCATTTCGGATATATACCATCAGCTAAATAATAACCCATATTATACTCTTTTCCTTGAATAACATAGTGAGCGGGAGGAGCAATACCTTGAGCTAGGTTAGAGAAAAGATTAGATGACTCCAGCACACTGATATCATTATTGGTGCCTGGCATACCAAAATATGCGTGTCATATCCAAAGATCATAATCTGCCACAGCTTTAAGGATAATAGTTGGTGACCCACTACGTCCTGTGTATTGCCCAGACCATGCTGTTGGATAATTTTTCCATTTCCAATGCATACAATCAAGACTTCCTAACATTCCTGGAAAACCACGTTTTTTACCAATATAAAGTAGCCTAGCAATATCGTTAGCGTTAGGTGTTCGTAGATACCGCTCTGCGAATATCTCCACTATAGCACGACAAAATCTTTTCATACTTTCAATTGTTATTGACTCACCTATTTTAACGTATTCGTCCGTAGCATCAGCTGGTAGACCGTATGCCAACATGCGAAAAACAGCTGTTACTTTTTGTAACGGTGATAATCTCATTCTACCAAGTCCATCACTTCGTTGTTGGAAGTAATGGTCATGATCTTTCACTGCATCAACAATACGAATGAACAAACTTCTTGACATCCGATATCGACGACGAAACATATCTTCTCCAAAACGTGGATTATCGACAAAGTAATCTATGACCAAATTCTGATGCGCATTTTCTCGATCGCGATTGATCACTGCATGACCAGGAATCGAGCCACCATGGATCAGTTGGTAGTTTTGTTGACATAAATTGTTAGCGATGATCATGTTGTTGTTGATGTACTCACAAATTACTTCTTCGGTTTCATCAATCTCTACAATGATATTGGTCAGAAAATTATCATCATCCGAAGATGAAGATGATGATAAATATGATGGACCTCCAACATCGAAATTCATTTTTGGAGTAAGAAAAGAATGATTGAAGTATGCAGAAATGGAGAATAATAATTTTAACACAACAACGAGTAATTGTGTGGATGTACCTAATCTAGTATGCTATTTATAAAACTTTGCTGAGCTGTGTATACGTTGGACAATGTGTAAAGCTGACCTGGTTTCAAAAATTAATTCCCACTCGTATAAAGCTTTCACACAATTCAAGGAAAGCTGAGTTGTGTATACGTTGGACAATGTGTAAAGCTGACCTGATTTTAAAAATTGATTCCCACTCGTATAAAGCTTTCACAGGAATCGAGCCACCATGGATCAGTTGGTAGTTTTGTTGACATAAATTGTTAGCGATGATCATGTTGTTGTTGATGTACTCACAAATTACTTCTTCGGTTTCATCAATCTCTGCAATGATATTGGACAGAAAATTATCATCATCCGAAGATGAAGATGATGATAAATATGATGGACCTCCAACATCGAAATTCATTTTTGGAGTAAGAAAAGAATGATTGAGGTATGCAGAAATAGAGAATAATAATTTTAACACAACAACGAATAATTGTGTGGATGTACCTAATCTAGTATGCTATTTATAAAACTTTGCTGAGCTGTGTATACTTGAACAATGTGTAAAGCTGACCAGTTTTCAAAAAAATGATTCCCACTCGTACAAAGCTTTCACACAATTCAAAGAAAGCTGAGCTGTGTATACGTTGGACAATGTGTAAAGCTGATCAGTTTTCAAAAAATGATTCCCACTCGTACAAAGCTTTTACACAATTCAAGGAAAGCTGAGCTGTGTATACGTTGGACAATGTGTAAAACTGATCAGTTTTCAAAAAATGATCCCCACTCGTACAAAGCTTTTACAAAATTTAAGGAAAGCTGAGCTGTGTATACATTGGACAATGTGTAAAGCTGATCAGTTTTTAAAAAAATGATTCCCACCGACAACGTTGGACAATGTGTAAAGCTGGTCAGTTTGTCCATAACGATTCAATTTCAAATGTTGACCACCGACAAATTCAAATTCAAACAAAAAAAAAAAAACAAATTTGGATTGGCTATAAATAACATTCACGGTTTCTACTTCAAGCCACTCAATTCGAAGTATTTCTTCAAAGTATTTCTAATCTCCAAACCAACCGCTTTTTACAAAAAGAAATGTCTGTTCGATCATTTGGATACACTATTACTGAAGATGTGCTCCTTTGTCAAGTATTCTTGGATATTTCTCAAGACCCTATTATCGGTAGAAACCAGTCTCGAGATGCATTTTGGTCTCGTGTGGAGGACAAATATAATGAACTTCGAGACCAAAATTCTGATGTGCGTACGAGCCGATCAATTCGTTCTCGAATGGAAATCATAAGTAATGAAGTAAGGAAATTGAATGCGTGCTTGAGACAAGTAGAGAATCTGAATCCAAGTGGTGCTTCAGATGAAGATATTGTAAGTATTCTATTAATTATCGTTTGAAATTTATTATTATTGTTGAAAAACATAACTTGATGTTCATTACAATTTGCAGTTAGTTCGAGCAAAGATGTTATTTATGCAAGAACCAAAGTACAAAAAAGGTTTCAAATTTGATCATGTCTGGAATATATGGTTAAAAATTTCGAAAAATTTAAAGATGATGTCCCCATAGCAAGACAAGTTGGTCGAAGACAACCCCAAAGTGTGAACTTCGACTCGTCACAATCAGATAATCCCACTCCGGAATCTCCTATATCAACATCTCCTGGGCTGTCATCGTTTACTCCATCTGAACGACCTATTGGGGTAAAAAAGCCAAATTGAAAAGAAAAAATGATGATCATGAGTCAAGCGTAGTGGAATCCATCGAGACCTCCAACAACCGACTTATAGACAGGTTAGACAAGGCGAGCTTGGACAGGCAAGAAGCATTTGATATCGAACGAGAAAAGATAGCCATGAAAAAAGATAGAGATGAATGGAAAATTATAATGAAAGATTTGAATTCCATTGCTGATCCAAACGTGCGTGAGTACGTTCGAGCTCAACAGATTAAAATAATACAAAAAAGAAATCAACAAGAACAAGGGTCTGCTTCTAATTTTGGCAATTATTTCAATGATATTGGACACTCTGGCCCCGATCTACCAGATTATTGAGAGTTGCTTGTCCATCTTAAGTAACGTCACCATGTTTAGTTTGTATTTTATGTTTTATTTTAATGAAGTTTTATATTATGTGTGTCAGTTTTTATATGTTATGTATTTCAGATATGTAATTTATATTTGAATTAGATCGAGCGCGCCAAGGGAATTCTTCATCACCCGTATCCGTTCCTTAGCATTACCCTTCGCCGGTAATCCTAAGAAGAGCAAATATCTCGCTTTATCCGAGATAGGCGCTTCAAAGTTTCTAGATCTCTCGCGGATCGACGAAGCTCTGTCCGATTTTCTGGATCAGATCTGATTGCCAGGTAGTCCACGGATATCGACGTCCCCGTCACAGGCCAAAGACCCACGCCAAATATAGCGTCGCGCTGTTCATCCCCGCTAAAATGCAGCGGAGAATGGCGCTGCGTTGGAGCTCCGGAGCAAATAGCGGTTTGCGGCAAATTGGCGTCGCGTTGGAGATGGTCTGAGGAAGGTTGGCGGTCCTCGTCCCGTCCGAATCGAGTCAGCGTAGGCCCCACCTAACATACGGAAACGTGTCACAACGAGGAATGATTCGCCTCCATCGTATTCTCCTCCGAAGGGACAACGTAACTCTCATCCTTCGCTTCGACTGAGCACCCGCCCGCTCCTCGGGAGCTCCAGGAAGAAGAAACCCTAATTCAAGATCTTTTAATGGCGGGGAGCGCAGAAGGACCTTTTGCGCGTATTCTGCATCGCGAACCGCGATACGAATGCTCGATGCAGCTGCGGTTCTTATCGGATCGCGTCAGATCCGATATCTCCACTTTCTCCAGAGGTTCTCCGATCAAGGTGATGGATCGATATCCGATTTTTTCTTTTTTCTTTCCCTCTTCATTGAATTCTTGATTACCAAATGTTTGATGTGTCAACCACTGGAAGATGCTCACTTTTAATGAATTTTGTATCTAGATTTTGCTTCTAGTCCCCGTCAACGTGTACAGTTTATTAGAAATTGGTTAATTTGATCGGTTTTTTTTTCTAGCTTGAATTCGTTTAATTTTGATCGATATCCCTTGGTAGCTCATTTTGCAAAATGAGGTGGCAACTCGCACGTGCACGCGCATGCACGGGCATGCCTTCATATATTGTATATTCTTTGTTGAAATTGATTGGGGTTTACTATGTGGTTTAAATTGTTAAGGAACATGTTTGTCCAACCAAAAAAGATTGATGCAACATTATTTAGATGAAGGAAAAAGGAATGCAGATATATTGGAGAAAGATTGTTCTTTTTTGGTAATCTTTGTATTCTTTTAACTTGTATAGTTTGTCTAGAAGTAAACGAGTATTCTAGTTTGCAAGGAACTTAGTATGACGAGAATCATTTTTGACATTTAACAAATGCTAAGTGCTGCAGTAACATAAGATGCTTCATCACATATTTTGAAGCAACATCAATGATTTTACAATTTCAAAATTTCCCTTTTAGAATTGAATAACTAAAACACTTTTTAACTATATGTATATACTAGATGAATCTCAATCTTTAATTCCATGTTATTCGTGAGTGTAGGACCAGTAAGCATTTTCTTTATTTCAGGACTATTTGCGTCATTGCTAATTATCATATCTGATGGTCTAATGGTTTATTTTTCTTTTTACATTCTCAACTTGATATCGTGCTTTCTAAGTGTAGTGTTTCTTGTTTTGTTTTCTTGGTTATGTGCTTGATACCATATGAAAACCTCAAGTTTGACTCATTTGTTAATATCTATGTTGTTCTGCAATTAGTAAGTCGTACAACTTACTCTCTTATATCATGAAATGACAGGTAGAAGTTTGTATTGTTGACGTCTCCATTAGTCATAAGGAAACACCTCCTCCAGAAGGCCTTCCTTTTATCAATAGAAAAGATATTCTTTCGTGTCTTATTGATGTGGAAAGGTATTCCTCTTACAAGCTTCCGGATGATAGAGGTGAAGCAATTGCAGTCATGAGTAGTGCGCTCAGTTGTTTCCTAAGGAAAGCTTATGAGGATCGCATCCTAGGTGGAGCCATAGGCATTGGAGGCAGTGGAGGAACTTCTCTAATTGCTCCGGCTTTGAGATCTCTTCCTCTGGGACTACCAAAGTTAATTGTGTCTACTGTGGCCAGTGGTCAGACTAAACCTTATGTCGGAACATCAGATTTAACATTGTTTCCATCGGTAGTTGATATCTGCGGGATCAATAGTGTCAGCAAAGTTGTATTATCTAATGCCGGAGCAGCTGCTGCTGGAATGATTGTGGGAAAACTACTAGTACATGATGCTTCTGCTGATATGATGTGTAAACCTACTGTGGGAATAACTATGTTTGGTGTTACAACTCCATGTGTTACTGCTGTGAAGGAAAGATTGGTGAAGGAAGGGTATGAGACGCTTGTATTTCATGCTACCGGAGTTGGCGGAAAAGCAATGGAAGAACTTGTTAGAGACGGCTTCATACAGGTTTTGTTAATTTTATTGCTTGCAGAACTGAATGTACCATGTTGGATTTGAAGTATAATGCATACGAGGCATGAGGAATACATACTAATTATTTATGTAACTTATTTGTTGGCATTGCATTCCTTTTTATTTTTCAAAATTTTAATCATTGAAAACATTTCCTCTGTTCCCAATCTGTATCCAGGTTCCAGTCACTCTTAAGTGATTGCAGCCACTAACTTGTATCTTTCTGTAAGTTTATTGAAAAATCTTCACGTTCTGACATATGTTCTTTGGATGTAGGGTGTTTTGGATGTGACAACAACAGAAGTTGCTGATTATGTAGTCGGTGGTTTTATGGCTTGTGATAGTTTCCGATTTGATGCCATCATAGAGAAAAAGGTCCCTTTGGTCCTTAGTGTAGGGGCCTTAGATATGGTAAACTTTGGAGCTAAGGATACAATACCTTCAGTGTTTAGAGATAGAAAGATTCATGCACATAATGATCAGGTCAGTATTTATTTATAGACACTGCAATTTTACAACTGATTCTTGTATTCACAAGTGATGATCAATATCAAAAAATCGCTGAAAAATAATAATTTATGTGAATGGGTCCCTGCAATGCGTTAGGAAATATTATTTGTGAACCTTGCGAATAAACTCAAGTTAATGGACATTATGAAGTATTGATACTTTAAAGGAGAGTCACACCTACCTGCTGCTTATGGGATACTTGCAATGCGATACTTGCACACATTGATTCCTGGGTTTCGAATACATCTTTCCACATACCCTGAAATTTAAATAAGAAAATATATCTGAGATGTATCATACACTCATAGGATAGACCATTATTTGTCCTAAAATTCAAAAGCATAATTTAAGAGAGCTGGATTAGAAACCATATCAATTGCCATGAATTGGAGCCTTAACCTGAATACCATTTCATTAGTGTGTAAAGTTGCATCGTAAAATGCGAGATCAATCTCCATCACAGGCTGTACAGGATTAACCTGAATACCAATTATAGTATAAGCTTATTGTTTGAATCTTTTGAAATACTTCAACATACTTAATGCCATAAAGCATTGATACATAAGTAAATCAAGATCTATTGGTTTTTCATGTATTATTTTAATTATTTTTACAAAGTAGAAATTTCATTCCTTGGCACTATCTTCATTTGTAGGCATTGTTTTTTAGTAATGAAGTGCAACCCTCTTATGAACAACTTTAGTGTTTAGTAGACATTTAATTATCATGTAACTTCTTACTCTGTCAAAACTAGAGAAGTTTATTTATATTGGTAAACCACTCTTCAAAAGAATATTGATGCAACATGTCGAGAAAGGAATGTAAAATTAATTCATTCGTCATAATTGTCCATCAAGACCTTGATCAATAGATGATTTTTTTTTATTTTAAATCAGAATAGTAATGCAGTCCATGCTATTTATTCAGCTTTGGGCGGTGTCTAACATGATTGGAAATTGAGCTGTGATTCCTTCCCTTTTGTAGCCATAAAGCAAAGATATACTAATGTTGGCCCTGTTGACCGGATTTCACAACATTCTCCTTACTCTGCAAAAGAACTTCAGGCATCATAAACCTCGAAGTATCTTTCAGTCCTGCCAGGGTAGAGAATCACCTTCTACCTGTGCTTGGATCCTTCAACCAAAGTTCTTAGTCTTCCAAATTCAACATCCAAATCTTGAGTTTGTCACCGCGAAAGACATAATAAACTATTTCCTTGGTAACATTTTTAACAAGCCTTGCTACTTTTTTTCTGGGCAGTAAGTAATGTAGTACTATATGGTGGCAGGTTTTCAATAGAACCTATACAAGTGAGTAATTGACAGTCTTGTCCAGTAAACATCATATGCTGGTAGGAAACTTTATGAGTGGACCATTGACGTGTCCTTAGATTATTGTCTTTAGAATGTGTAATCAAGTAGGACTAGCTGTGT